TGCCAATGATCTTAATCATACATAAATATATGACATAGTACGTACATAAATATGTCATCAATAGACATATATACTTTTATAATAATAATAATTAATATGTCACTGATCGAGGATATATTAATTATTACTATTATTATTAATAATATTAATAATAAATAATATGATATAATTAATAATAATAAATGATCAATGGCATATTAATTATTATTATAATAATAAATATGGGTATCTATCGAGGACGTATTTATCATGTACTGCGTGCTTCATTGGCTTATAGTAAAGATAATCTTTATAGAAGGTATCTTAAGTCCTGGAAAAGGGCAAAGTGGGCTCATTCTCTTAAGAGCGTGCAAAAGATGCACTATTACGCAATGATAGGAAAAAATATTTTGAAGTCTAGGGCACATGAGGGCAAAAACAGTTGTCGATTATACGGTCGCTAGAGGTGATAAAAATATGAGAGTCAACTCTGACTTCTTCATACGATTAAAATACATACCCGTCTCACCCTTTACTTATATCCTTCCTTGAAATTGCCCTTTTTAATAATCAAGATAATCAATTCTTTCGACAATTTATGTTAAAATTAAAATAAACTTTTTTGTTTTAAAATAAATTACTTTTGGCAATTTGCAATATTTTTACAATAAACTAAATTTTAGATAAATTACGTAAATTTACGTAGAAGCTATAAAAAAATATCGATCACTTTCTGTTATATGTAATAGGTAAAAGTGTAAAAATTAGTGTATTTCGCAATTGATGGTCCATTTTGATCTTATTCATTTAATTCACGTATGCTTTCGGAAATATGTATATATGTATCAGTATCTATTTTTTTTTCTTTCCTCATCTGCATATTTCTTCGACCGTTTTAGCGTCGATTTTTCTTAAAATATCGTTTTCGGACATGTCACTCCAATCTTTTTCGGACACGAGGAAAAATCATCTCTCCCCTGTACTACGTTCGCTAATCTACCCAAAAAGAACGTGACGTCCCGAAGGATCCTTGAGAAAGCCACTATTACGGCCGGTCAAGCCTACGCTCTAGGCCAGGGGCTAGGCTAGGCTATTTCCGCCTTTCAGCTTATGGACCGAAATAGTCGTAGAAAACTTGTGAACAAGAAACCGTTGGGACCACAAGGATTCCCGATGTGTCTGGCTAATATAAAATCAATCTTATTTTTCTTTTCATCGTCGCACACGCGTTGTCGAACGGCTTGTGTATCGTTGAGAATTCGAGTTTTCGCTATTGTGTCCGTTTAGTTTTCCAAACACATCGAAATGAGGGACAGCAGATGTAATCTAACAGACAGCTCATCGAATCCACGGATTATATAATATATCCCTCTCGAAAATAAACGAACACGGCGACGAAGATATAAATAGATGGTCTTTTAGATTTAGACAAAAAGTCAGTTTTAATTTATTTATGTGTAATTGTTTTAGAAATCTTTATAACAATAGAGAGTGCAGAAAAAAAAATCATGTTCAATATATCAATATTATATACTCTCAATATAATATTAATATTAATCATGTTTATTAACAATTACTTTGCAATATTTAAATCGCGTTATTCATTAGCAATTGGTTTCTTTTTAACCACGTATTTTTTACTCGGTTATAACTATTTTTGTGTCATATATAAATGTATATCTTCATTAAAAATAAAATAAAAAATATATTATATATATATATATATATATATATATATATATATATATAAAATAAATTAATACATGAATAAAGTAAAAAAAATATTTATGTAAACTTTAATACAAGCAAACACATATATAAGTTATATCTTTGATGTAAATACTATAGCTAATATCTTTTCTTAATACAGATTTTTTAATTTTTATTTCTGTTTAAGATATTTAAGCAGATTAAAGACTATAAGTCAAATTCCATTTTTTTCTTCAAGTGATGAAAGAGAGAGAAAGGGAGTCTTTTCGGCGCGTTCGCTCGCGCTCCTCAGCTTCTGCGGTCTGTGCACAACGGCTATTTCTACCTATCGTCGTTCGCGAACGATGCGACAGGTGCTAAAGGCATGCCAGGCGGCGCGATGCCGCATCGGCGAGGATTTCGAAATCCGCCGCGAGAGAAGCCCGCGACGGAGTATTTTCAATCGTCTCTACGGTGCTGGGCGATTCCTCCGTCGTCCTGGGAACGGCACCGGACCGATAGGTGAAGGCGAACAGATAGGTGGGTTCGCAGAGCATATTTCTGGCAGTCACGAGATACGATTTTACGGGCGGAGGACGAGCTCGCGGGGTGCGAGAGGGAGAGAGAGAGAGAGACAGAGCGAAAAGGAACACGAGACACACAAGTGTGCGATGAAGATAAAGGATGTGTGATGCGTATGTGAGGTAAACAGGGGTGAGGGAAGTAGAGGGAGAGGGTACACTTGAAGTGGAGACAGACACGCGTTGCTTTCGGTAGATCCGACATTGTCGGGCGGCAGCCAATTTTCAGGGAAATTCCATTAATACCCGTGGCTTTGTCCCACTTCGAATTGATGACTCGTCATTCCGTTGCGTATTAAGACAAATCGTTTTATGTAAGAGATAGTCCTAATTCATCGTTTTTCATTTCCGATGTCCTTGATGAATTTGGAGTCGAGTCTTCCTTAAGGATCCTCTTACTTCCTGCATTACTTCTTAATATTATTAGTATTCCAAGGATCAAGCGTGTGGACCAAACTTTTGTTAAGATATTTAAAAATGACAGTCATATTCGTATTTAATAGAATAATAATATTTAATAATGAAATAGTAATTTTTATAGTGTTTTAAAAAATACTAAATTATCGCTTTATTTAATAATAATTAACCATCATTCAATTAAATAAAAATTTTGTTTAATGATAACTTAATCAAGTTTAATGAACCAATCGCCTCTTTTATATCGCCTCTTTTTTATATTTCTCATTAAAAAAATTTGAAACATTTTATGAAAGACAGTGTATTTTATGTAAATTTGATGTGAATTGATTTTGAATTTGATGTGAATTGATCAATGATATGTAAAGATATGTAGAAAGATTGTAATGACGACAAAATAAATTTTACAGATCGCATGTAATGTATTTTGCGATGATGTGCAATCATATTTTGGCATGATGGATGGTAGACTGAAAATTATGAATGTCTCTCGAGAGAAGAGAATATCTTCAACTTTAGATATGTACGCTGGGTTATACATCTACTAAAAATGATTGCTTGCATTGCGATTCTCGTTTTATAAGTTTGAAAAATATCATTCTCTTATATCAAAGTCATATTTTCTGTACTTGTACATGTTGATCGTACGCCAGAATTGTACACCTACGCATGTACAATTACATGAGATTGATATCTCTATACGATCTTCTCTCAATGCATTGGATTAAAATATTGAATTAAACAATTGTCAGGATCAGTAGAAAATAAATGTTTAATTAATAAAATAATTCTAATATTCTCTTTTATAACTCGAAGAGAATTAGTTGTAAAAATATATTAATATATTTAAAAAATATATTAATATATTAATATATTTAAAAAATATATTAATATATTAATATATTTAAAAAATATATTAATATAAAAAATATATTTAAAAATTGTGAGAAAGAAAACTTTAAATTCTCATTACAAAAAACTACACCTGCAAATAATATTTTTTTAAATCCAATACATGGTTGTAATAACTGTAAAATTTAGCAAGGAGTGATAATTTTTCGCAATTTCGATGTCGAAACATAGAATCTAAATATTTCACGAAATCTCCAGCGTAAAAAGATATTCGCTGATTGCGCGGCTAATTATAAACAATTTATACTTTATACATTCAACCAGGGTAAATTTCGCGATCGCGATCGACGCGAGAAACGCGCAATTGAAGCTCCCACGAAGGAAAAACGGATTATCGATGGAAAACTTCGCAGTTTGATTAACCCAGTTCTTCGTAGCCCTGGGTCCGAGCCCACGCGGACGACCTTTACCTCGTCTACGCGATGCGTGAACGAGAGCGAGAGAGAAGGGTCTCATCCCGTGGAGTCTACACCTGCCATCGGACACCAGCGTCGACCAAACTGACTGTCCGGTCGCCCACACGAATTGCTACCGCATTATTTCGAGTGCTTTGGCCTTGGGTAGCGGCCAGAGAAAACTTTTGCGGAGATATCGTCGCGAAGATATGCGGATTCCTCCTCGATAAATGCGACAAGTACCAAGTACTTTGGTCGAGCAATGCACCATCGTTCGTTGCCGTCGTCCACGTTCTCCATTTTCGAACGCTTAGGTAGAAAGATGTGTATTCTGACATTAAATACGGAAAAAAAATAGTATTTTTTTTCCTTAATTTACGCCGAGATTTACGAGGGATTTGCCTCACATTTCTTTTCGCATATAAATCTCCGCACGTGTGATTTTTGACGAGAATACACGCGTGGAATCTTAACGTGGAGCGTGACATCATGAGGGTATGATTATTCGGAGTAGTCGAGCTGTGACGAAAAAGAAAAGAAGAAATATGACAGATGGACACGCGCGACAATCGATGACTCGAGATGACACGGTAGGGATAATTGCTTTTTTACAGAGAGACACAGAGAAAGAGAGAGAAAGAGAGGAGGAAAGAGATGTTTCTTTGGCAAGCGAGCATGGAGAAGCACTTCCTGCTCTCGGCTCGAAAACGAGCTTTAAGCTCCGGCCGACTTAGAACTCGCCGAGCTCTCGCCGCGAGTCATAATAATAACAACTCCCGCAAAGATTCCGCTCCCGAGAGCTGAATCTTAAATTTAAACAGAATGGCGACGAGCACATTGCGGTGAAGCGTAAAATGCTTGTCATTTCTGTACCTCGGCGGACCTACTGTCCCCTATGTTCTGTTTGCTCGATTTTACAGGGTCCATGAATAACTTTGTCGTCCATCGAAAATAGTGTTTCGGAGCCGCCAATTTTTATTTTATAAATCATTAAAATATTATTATTTATCAACTTGGAAATCGATCTTTCAACGAATCTCTTTAAGGATTAAACAAAAAACGAAGGACAAAATTGTCAAAGTACTTCGCCTTCTATTATTATATCAAAAACGTTTCTTACATACATACCTTTGTATTTTAAAGCTTGTGTTCTTTTCTTAAATTTATTAGGACAGTTTTTAAACTTATAAAAATTTAAACTAAGGATATACCTTCTATTATTGTTCTCAATCTTTTTTTTTTTTTCAGATTTAGGTAGACTATCTAAGAGCTTCTCTGCAGCTTCTGATGCAGCAGCCAAGTTAAGAGCCCGCTGGAAACGGCTATACTGCCCCTATAATTAAAAAATCAGAATTATATGATACATACATATATATGTCATAGATTTTTGTACAAATAAAAAAATTAATAAGTGGTGAAACTGTGAACGATGATTCTGTTAGATTATTTTTGTATAATACAAATATTTTTTTGAAGATTTAAAAACAACAATATTATAATTTATTTTTTAAATAATATGCTTTCATAAAATTAAGGCACGATTTCAGGAAGATTTAATTTCGACAAACAATTACATTTTCATTTATCATGGAATTTGAACAAGCATTCCATCCAAGAGAATCATCGCGACACAAAGGGTTTAAAATTGTAAACATTTAAAATTCTGAAAACTAAGGTAAAAAAAATAAGAAAATTTTTGTCCGAGCGTCCAACTTTGTTACGCGATGCGCGAGTAATCGCGATGATCTAAATATAACATCTTCATGCATCTTCATTGCACTAGGAACATATAATGATGTCATGATGTGCGAGCGCGGATTGATATATATCGATCGTAGAAGCCGAGATAGAACCGGGAAAAACGCAAGCCATACTTGAGCGTCGACGACGTCTCGCTCCAAGTCTTTCACCTGAGCGTTATTAGGTAACCCGACAATCGACGACCATCGGGGACGCCGTCATAATGCCTTCGCAACAATTGGCAACGCGAATCGTCCGGCTTCTCGCATCCACGATAATGTCGATGCTAATTGGGGAACTTCGCGAACCGCGGCTGCGATCTGTCGACAATCATAATTTGTTTGACGTCTGCGTCTATAGGGATCCACTAATAGGAATTGGATCGTTCTTAATGCATCGACCACCAATTAAAATCCCAATTGCGACATCGCGACGAGCTTCGAAATCGACGCAGCACGTGGAAACGCCAACGTTTAAAAGACTGTCGCGGGATTGTTGGATTTTGCAATAGCCCTCGGACATTTTATATAAATAATAATAACGCGAGCCGTAAGATAATTGAATTTCTTTTTCATATTTAAGCGCAATCTTCGCAAATCTTTAAATTATTTTAAATGAACCAAGAGCAAACGGAAATTCGTTTCATATTCGTGATTTCGAGGATCGATTTATTATCAAGATGTCAAACAATACATTTTGATTTTTCAAAGTGTATACTCAAATCCTAAATAAATTCCTTGAAGATTCTATGATTTTCCAGGTACTTTTGTTCGAAATTTCAGATAGAATTAAAATATTTTTAGATGCAATTTTAAAATAGATTTGCTGTGCATGATTGTTTAATATAAATGAAATATATTCGAATGTTTTAAACTTAAAAAATTTCATACTTTTTATAAATACATTTTAAAATAACTATTTATATATTAAATAAAATATCGACTCTAAAGTACTAACATCTGATACCGATTAAATAGTCATAAAATTAGGACAGTATCTAAATCCCAGAAATATTATAAATTATATAATAACAAGAAATGTGCGTAAAATAAGTTGTGTTATTCAAATATAAAGAACATGCATACATTGTGATTTAATTAAAAGAATAAATTTTTAATAAAAAATAATATAAATAATAAAACTAATACACGAGATATTAATAAAAAAAATAAAACATTATATAAAATTTTAAAGTTTAAATATAATAAAAGAATAGCTTTTTCTTAAGTTCTAACTATTAATAACATAGTCTTGAGAACTTCAAAAGCTGTTAAGATTAATTAACATAAATATTTACATAAAAACAAAATTATTAGAACTATCAATTTTTAAAAAATCTGAACTTCAATAAAATTCGAGGAGAATTTTCTGATTTTTCAAGGCAGAAAAATTCCTGAGAATATCAGATTTTCAAGGTTTTTCGAAAATATACATCCTGTTCTTATACGTACCACAGGGCGAGTTGGACCGTAACTGAATGCCGTATCGGGTTGTAAGGGACAACATATAGCTCCTTGTTTTGTTGGAAGTGTCGCAATATGTCCCGTGCGCTGTAAAACGATCGAGAAAATCGTTCTTGATCATTGCGTCGCAGATGAGGATGTATGTAATGCGACGCTTTCGATCGGCCTGCTCGGCGAGGTAAACGTAATTACGCGTTAAGCCAATTTCGCGTGACAAAAGTTGCACACGTGTGGCACACAGCAGATATAATAATAGATCGTTAATAATAATGTACACACGGTGGTGTAGACAGCGGCGATCTTTTAATAAGTGCTGTAAATATATCCGCAAAAGTTCGTTGGTAAAAGCGACATAAAGATGGGAACGATGCCAATGACGAAGAAAATCCTACGCGACATGACAGTGTTGAGTCAATTATTTGTGCACGATGTGCACGAATATTTGGAGAATTTTTATTATGAAAACGCGTGTAATTCTGCGAGATTATTCAGTTTTTATTCTTCATATAAGGAAGACAATATACAAAAGAGCGCGTACGTTCTCTTGTTAAATCGTTTTACGGATAGTAAAGAGAAAAAAATTCACACAATTGACGATAAAAAGAATTTAACGAATTTCTTTAACGATGATAGATAGTTCACAAACATTATATGACTCTGTCGAATAAAAACACAAAACGATACTAAAGTGTGCGGACACCCATAGCGTTTAAATGGCCGCGAGGCACTTAACGCGTTCACTGTCTCAACACTCTCTGAAAAACAAATGAAATTGTAATGGATTCACTGAATTGGCAATATTAAACGATTTATATTTTCAGACTATCTGAGTAAGACAAATGTAATCGATTGAAATCGATCGTATAACCAAACCGAAGAAATAAACTCTTCTCGAACACATGTTGCGATCCACCAGCGAATATAAAATAATTTAATGTCGTGCGGCAATAAAATTAACGTGAATCGATAAGTCTCAGTCATATAGCATAAATAGACACATTCCCTACTTTATATAATGATATTAGTAAAATTATAAAAATATTTCATTCGAATAGCTCAACTCATCAATGTTCTAAGACTAAAGTAATCCACATATATTATTATTAGAGCATTTTCTCTATTTGATATAATAATTAAATAAAAATATTTGGGAGAGAGAGGAAAAGTATTCTGCTTTTCTTTCAAGAAAAAATAAATTATTCCACTAATTTTAAAATATTTAGTATCCACACATAAATCAAATATTATATAAAATTATATATTTATTTGCACATCGTTTCTCATATTAACAAATGAAAGATATGAATTAAAGTATATGATTATTCTTTTCAAGGATATTTGTACTATTATAGAAAGATTGTAATATTTTAGTCTCGTTAAATTATAAATAATATTAAGTGATACATTACATGAATTCGTTATTCACTTATTTTAAAAAAACAAGTGAATTGGATGTTTTGATTGGATTTTTCTGTTATATAACTGTTATATAACTGAATATAACTGTTTTATATAAAAATGAAAACACTAAATCATTTTCTGCAATGCATTGGCTGCCCTTGGAAAGCATCCAAAATAGTTCTGCTACTAAGAAGAGAGTAGCTTCACACTATTATAAATTATCTTTTTCCTCTCTCCAAGAATCGACTGTTTATTTAATCATATTTGTGATATAAAAGCTGAAGTACTAAAGATAGCGAGTTTTGTCTAGTACAAAATTTTCTTCTGTTGCATTAATGCATATAATATTATGGTATTTCATAGATATCTTGAAATTGGACGCCGTTGGCACTCAACAATCACTTTCTTAATACATAAAGCTATCCTATTTTTCTCATTTTCGCAAAATTTGTGTGTGAAGGATATTTAATAATTTATTTATTATATTATATATACATATAATATAAATATAATATTGACAAAATCGAATGAGAGAGAAACGAAAAGGGTTTGCTAATGCAAAATGAATTACTAACCTTCCATGATTTGCTACTGCAACTAACATGCGCTTCGATGTGCATTGTTTTATGTCAACCGCACCAAAACTCGACATTTTTTCAGCTATCTGTGCAAATATTTCATAATAATGCAGGCTGATTATAATCAATCATATTATACATATATTAAGATACTATCTTCCACAATCGTATTATACGTATACATTAAGATATCATCTTAATATATAATACAGTTAAGTATAATACCTGCATGGCGGTTATCGGCTTCGATGCTAACGTTTTCACAAAAAGCCATTTAGGTCGAGTCGATCCTGGTTCAGGTCCATCAAGTTTCTGGGGAATTCATAATGTCATTTTCTTTTTGTAAAAGGATATAATGTATATTCAGCTACACATATTCTCTTCTTGCAGAGTATGTCATATTCACAACCATTACATGTTTTGCATCTTTCTTACCAGATGTGATGTACTGCCACGGATGATATTTATGCAATTTGCGAAACTTTTTACATTATTCATTAATTCTGTATGTGTAAAATGCTTCAATGTTGAACTCCTGAAATCACAAAACAGATAGTGTATTATTAATTATAGCTATATAATTTAATATAAATATATATTTATAAAATATATGTATTTATATTAGGAGTAAAAATAAATATGTTTTTTTGGTCTCTCTTTCTTTTAATTCATGTATTAAACTTACTGTCCATAACATTTTGCAGAAAATACATGAATTAGTCGAATAAACACATAGCCAGCAAAATAAGAATCCCATCCTGCAGTATGATATTTCGTCGAAGGTACAACTAAAAAAATATAAGTTTTACAAGATATAAATTAACTATAAAACTACATGGAATTAATATGCATAAAAAAGAAATATCTACCATTCGATTTATCTGAATTTATTTTGCAAGTAAGATTAATATTAGGTGATCCAAGTGCTAAATATTTTCCTTGCTTTTCTGTGAAATACTCAACTAAACCACTTAAAGAATTAAATTTCCATTTTTCTGTAAAGATAATAAGAATGTTCTTAATACTTTAAATTGTGTGTACTACAAATGTATGTAAATTACTTTTAATTAATTCTTTAAATTACGTTCTGTTGAAAGATGCTCTCTCAATTCAAAGCTTAAAAATTTTGTGTCGTAAATTGTTGGAAATAATTGATGTAGGCTATCCTTAAAATTAGTGTATTTTTCTGTAAAAAATACATTATTCATAAATTATCATAGTTTAATTTTCACCTATTGTATCACATTATAAACATAAAGATGGATTTTTCCACATTATACATACTTGGTAATGGCTTATAAAACTGTTGATACATAAACATTAAATCTAACAAAGCATTATGTGCTACTATAGGTTTTTTCAAAGTAACCAAAAGCTTAAACACTTTTGAAAAACCTATGTATGATTCGAGCAATACATTTTCCAATATAGAGCCTTCTTCTTGTTCTAAAATTGCTCTCGAATCTGGTCGAATTTTCATAACAGTCACCTAAAAAATTAGAAGGTTCAAGACTTTGAAAAATAATTGATCTTTCATGTTTCTCGCAAAAAGGAAAATGAGAGATTAATGTACCATATTATTCCCTGAGAAAGTCCAAACATTTGGGAAACGATTTCTTAATTCTTTGTGCGTGAGATACTGCAAAATTGGAGTAGGAGTGTCAATTTTCAACGAGTTTGTCTCATCACTCGCTGTATTCAACCATTCGAATACTTGATTGATATAATCTTTGAGACTGTCTTCTTCTCTGTAAGACATAGATCTTTCCACATTATGAAACAATACATTCTCCTCCAATTGTTGCTGCAAGATTGCTTGGTCATCCTCATTGAGATATGAAATACCATTATAAGCAAACTGGAAATTGTTAATGAATATTAAAGTCAATGTTACTTTCTATAATAAAATAAAATGCCAAATACAATTTTAATTTAAACTATTTATTAACAGTAAGCTACGTATAGCAGCGTTTTCAAAATTTAAAGTAATTTATAAAAAGAATGCGGTATACCTTGTTAAAATCAAACTCGTATGCAGTCAGGAATTCTAATGCAGCGACTTGCCAGACAAACTGTCTATTCTTTGATGGAATAGATCGAGGTAGCAGGAAGAAATTGAAGGCTTCTGCCGTGTACTGATTTTCATGTTGAATTCGTTGAAACGCAGTGATACCAAATTGAATTATTATGTATGGTTGAATGCTACTCCTCTGCTTCTCATAGCGCTCGTTAATGGAATCGAACAAACTGCAATGAAAAACGACATTAAAACTCATTGAAATATTATTTAACGACATTGAAATATTATTTAACAACATTGAAATATTATTTAAGCGTGCATTCAGAAGAATATAAACTAACCTATTTTTGACATCATCAACATTTAAACCTGTTAATTCCGTATCAATCGCTATGAAACTCGCATTTTTCAATGTACGTTCCAAGTGTGGATATATCGTGTTAAAATTTTCATTCGTAACCTCAAACATAATAATAATATTTCTTCATACACGTGAAAAATAAACGTACAAAATAACTTGAAACAAGATACAAGTGCACTGCGTTCTTCAAAACGATACCGCCATTTATTACAAACATACGACATACATGTCACGTGATACATACACACATGTTTGCCGCGTAAATGATTTTTTGATACTGCCGCAGGATACACTAATTGTATGTAATATTTTATATTATATAATTTCTGATGTAATATATACTAAACTATAATATCTTAATTATACAAAATTAAAATTATAGAAATAAAAATTAAAATTATAAAATATATATTATAATAATTTAAAAAAATATAATATAAAAAACTATAATATAAAAAATATAATATAAAAAACTATATTATAATAAAAATTAAAATTATAGAAATTAAAATTATAGAACAAATAATATATCAATGAAAAAAAATTTTGAAAGGTTTGTGTGTGATTATATAATTTATGTTATGAGAAATTTACATATTTACATATATACATAAAATTATAAAATAAATAATATATCTATGAAAAAAATTGAAATATTTATGTAATAATATAATTTATATCATGAGAAATGTACATATATAACTTTAATTATGTGTTATTAATATCATTTGTTATTATTAAGAAATTAATAGTGATGAAAAAATTAATAACTTTTTTTTAATAAATATACTTTTACAAATTTTATAATTAATATGTTTTTAAAAGATTATGTTAAACAATTTCTCTGTTAATGACTAGTATTAATATTGAATAATGTAGTAAATGTGTGTGAAATTGAAATTATATATAGAAGAAAAGAATTATATATTGAAGAAAATAAAAATTTAGAATAAAAATTTGATATGTCTTCTATTTGATTTAAGTGATACTGATATTTCTTCTGAAAAATTCGATTCCAATTATTTAGTAGGTCGAAATTTTAATATTTCCAATAGGGAAGAATAAAATTAATAGTATATTATCTAAGAATAAAATTAATATATTAATAAAATTATTATATTCATATTATATTATTTATGGAGTAATGTTTCAATCAGTTTAACTTTTGCAATCAATAATAAGACAATTAAATGATAAAAATAATACAGCAAGATATTGGTAGAATATTCTTAGCAATAAATAGTTTAATAATTGCAGGTTCTACTTATTTTGAAATAACTAATGTAGAGATATCGATATTTCCAGTTTATATTTCATGAGCAAATTGGTATTTGTTATCTACTTCCGTTCGTGCTTTGTGTTTCCTGCCAATATCGCGCGAATCAATTCCTATTAAATATCGGTTAATAATTAATATAGCTCGAAAAACAGATTTTCTCTTTAATCATAAGATTGAATACAGACGCAAGAAAACTTGTTGTAGATCAGCGTTATTAAATTATTTTTTTATTATTGATTATAATATTTAAACAAATATGAACATTATGCATGATACAAGAATAAAAATAATAGAAAATATCAAAAGAGTAGAGAAACATACGTTACAAAATATATTTGTTTTAACTTTCACATGTGAAAAAAATAATTTATTCGCAAAGGAGATAATTTATAAATCAAAGAAAATTAATTATGTATGTATGCAACTGAATTTTCACTAGTGTCTTATTTCGCTTTCCTTTCAAAAGGGTACTGGAGAAGGTCTGGAGAAAAGAGAATATCATTACAGGGAGGTCACGAAGGGTCATCATCTTCTCGCAGATTGGCAGATACCGCGATGATTCCGGGAAAGCTGTCCGTGTACAATGATGCCTTCATGATTAGAGGACTCGCAGACGTGTGATACAGTAGAAGCGCGTTAGTGCTTCACTTGCAGGATCTTTCTTTTAATCGAGAATCGACTCTCTCTCCTGGCAATGAACTTGCTTGAGCAGTGCTAGTGCGTCCGCGGCCACGACATCGGCCAGTCCGACACTCGCTTGCTCCTTCACGTTCTCGCGGATCTCATCTCTCCGATTTTCTCTCAAGGACCATGCTCTACAGATTCGGGATCTTCATCGGGCTCGGTTCCGTGGTCGCGACTATCATCTACTTCACGCCCATACCTGGTGAGTCAAATAGAGTATTTTTGTTAGCAACAGAAATGAAATAAGCGAGCTTGAAAATAGCGCAGAAGGCAAAACATTTCTATCTCTTGATCAGGAATGATTGATAATCATTCGTTTCGTTTATTAAAGTCATAGGTCAATTCGTAAGTTTACGCAATCACGATTGGCGTGACTGCCTTTTAGGTAGAAAATATTTGTCAGATAAGATAATTTTCGATAAAAATGATCAATGACATTGATTAAAATTAGTATACTCTCTTATTATGCATGGATAGTTTTTATCGAATATATGTCATTGATTAAAATTAGTATATTGTGTCTCATACTTATCTTTATTTCTTTTCAAGATCATGAAATTATCATTTATATATATTTGTTTATATAAAAATTGTCTTTCCTTCACATTTATTATTTATTCTACTTATATGCTTATAAATTTTTTAAAGCAAACATTTTGATGTCAAGTATAAACAAGTGATATGTGTAAATTTTCTTTAAATAAATTAAAAAATAGTATTAAAAAAAGTGTATTTGTTTCAAAATTTTTATTTATATGATGCATTTTCATAGAAAGTATAATTTAATTGCATCATCAATAATTATATATATTATATTACAACAATTAAATACGAGAGTCATCAATAATCCACTTTTTTTTACATCAATAAATTATATTCATATCATAAATAATATCATAAATTTATATCATTTTTTAAATTCGATCTACATTATATATACATAGTACTACTTACTACATTATATATTCATAGCTAACATGTTATATTTGCAAAATATTTATAACTCTAATTTACAATTCAAAATAAACAAAAAAATATAATAATTGGAAAAAATTTATAAACTTTTTCTTCTTATCGATTCATCAAGATTTGTATATGTATATAAGCAGATGTAAAATTAGAGCTGAATATATCAAATCGTAACTACGGGTTTTACAAAGTGACTTAAAGATCACTATTTTAAAATATTCGCAAAGATTGTTTGTGATAGTACATCGATAACTCGTATTGATATCACAATTATATTGTTTCTTAAATGATTATAATAATAGTATAGCATATTTTTACAAGAATCATGATATATAATTTTTTTTTCAAAAATAATATAAAAGCGAATTATAATTTTCGTCGCCACAAAATTAATTATAAAATTTCCATCATATTATTTTCTTAGGAAATTCATTTGATATGTAATATCTGATATAGCAAGTACTCATGAGATGATAGGCACAGATTGAATCTCCACATGAAAGGTGAATGCCCTCAAAATTTACAGTTATGTATATATTTCTTTTAAGAACAACTAATCTTGTTGCTAACGATGCTGATCGCAATTATTAGTTATTAGATATAATATATACGAGATAGATTGTTTCTTCGAACATATTATGCTAAATTAATTGCCATTCTTTCAAGTCACAAATGTCGATGGAAAACAGAAGAGTAAAAACCTCTTTTTTGAATTTTCATCATATAATATAAATTTTTTGTAAATTTTTATTCTGATTATCATGTAAATATAAATATGAATATAAATATGATATAGATGACACACAATCGATCAACTAAAATTAAACTGAATTATATAAATATATAAATATATAAATATATAAATATATAAATATATAAATATATAATGAAAATATATAAATATAAAATGAATAAATAAATAAATAAATAAATATATATAATATTTTCTCTTTTTTTTTTGCAAATTTGCAAGAATTAAAAAAGTAATATTACTTTATTTATAAATAATTATAAATAATTCTTTATAAACTCTATTTATTTTTACAATCTTGATGAATACTGTAATAATTTTATATACGAACTATACATTCAAACTTTCTCTTTGATTAATTATAAGAGGAAAGATAAGCGAGACACACGTCATATTATGAATATCATCAAAATATACCGCGAAAATCGAAAGTCCACGTGAAAGTATGTGGCATTGCAACATACAATTTCGTTTTTCGACGAAAACTATTGTTTCCTCTTTAAAAAGATGATCAAAGTTTTCATAAACAATTTGAATGTAACATTAGCCTGTATGAATATAAATGTCTTTTTTTCGTTGCTAGTTTTAAATGCCTGCTACGTTCTCTCGTTTTATGCTTCAAAAGAATACTTGTCACATCCTAGACGCAGAGATTTATTTATCTTTTTGACTGCCTATCACTTTTTTGAAAGTAAATGTCAGTAAAATGTTTTCTACAGCGGTTTTAGTTGCAAACTATTAAATAGTTATATATAGATATTAATAGATATCTAATAATTATATATATTAACCGGCCTCTAATATCATTTTACTTCCTGAGTAAAAAATGTGAACTTTTGAGACCGGATGTTACGTGCGAGCAAAGAATTTAGCGTTTTCCGGAAAAATACAAATTTATAAATAATAATTTCTGATTGTAAAAATTGTATTCTTTTTATGATTATAAATTAAGAGTTAAAAAATAACAGTATTAGGTGTTTCAAAAATAATTTCATATACAGGATGTTCCAGTTATCTTCCGTCATCTTTCAAAGACAGATTCCTGGGATCATTTGAAGACGATTTTTCCTCAGCGAAAATGTCAATGAAGGCCATCATTTTTTGCATGTTCTCGATTTTTGTCATCATATATCTTTGCAATTAAGTCTTAAATTAGAACTCAACTAAACTCTATTTAAAATTAATCGAAGAATATGGTTTTGTTAATATTTTATTTCTATGGACCTTAGTTTACGAAAAACCTCTTATTTCCAATCACTTATAATTCGAAAATTATTAGTGCCTCGACATTTTCGTTGAGGAAAAATCGTCTTCAGATGATCTCAGGAATCTCTTTTGAAAGATGACGGAAAATAACTGGGACATCCTGTATATATATATATATATATATACAGGGTCTACCAAAAGTGTGGAAACCCCTAAATATCTCGGAAAATATACGTTTTACAGAAAAGTGTTTCCAACAAAAGTTGTAAGGTTTAAGAAGATCTATATACTGATTCTATCAGTTTGACCTTGGATGGCGTCGTCAAGGTCAGGTCAAGGTCACATTGACTTTTTTAAATGACACCCCCTACATTTGATTGCATATTCTTATAGCTTAATTCAAGAGCTTTCCAAAACACTATAATAATGTTCATTTTTATTAAGTACTTTGCGAGTTATGAGGGTTGAAATAATTTCTTAATTTTACATAAACCATAAAATATCTAGTAAACCATTCATTTTTCGATTATCTTACCTTCATACTTTTATGTACAAAATAATGAAAGGAATCAATTGGTGTAAAGAAAACATACAGTTGTTTTTAAGAAAAAATATGGAATTGTTAATTGCAAATTACATATTTTTTCTTAGAAACAACTATGTGTTTTCTTTACACCAATTGATTCCTCTCATTAATTTGTACATAAAAGTATGAAGGTAAGATAATCGAAAAATGAATGGTTTACTAGATATTTTATGGTTTATGTAAAATTAAGAAATTATTTCAACCCTCATAACTCGCAAAGTACTTAATAAAAATGAACATTATTATAGTGTTTTGGAAAGCTCTTGAATTAAGCTATAAGAATATGCAATCAAATGTAGGGGGTGTCATTTAAAAAAGTCAATGTGACCTTGACCTGACCTTGACGACGCCATCCAAGGTCAAACTGATAGAATCAGTATATAGATCTTCTTAAACCCTACAACTTTTGTTGGAAACACTTTTCTGTAAAACGTATATTTTCCGAGATATTTAGGGGTTTCCACACTTTTGGTAGACCCTGTATATATGAAATTATATATTTATGAACTAATTATAAATTAAAGTAGCAGCAATTATGATGTGTAAATGCGATCCTATTTCCGCACGCGAATCTATTTCCGTGATTCGAGTACTTCTTAAAAAAATGTGATAAATGCGTGAACATGTGCAAATCATGCATGCGATGCTTATCCGAATTTTGCGGATACTTATCTGAGAAATGCGTATAAGAGAAGATGCGTTCCGCTGAAGTAAATAAGTGAAAGCGTCAATTATTATTAACGGTAAATGTACCGTTTTACTCGCAATGTATGTAGAGAATAAGAAAAGGGCTAAGGTCTTAACTATCGGAATAAAATAAATTTCGAAATGTCAATTCGAAAATTCTCTTCTGATAAATAGTCCAAAGCTATAGAAAGTATACAGCCATGTAACACATATATAGGAAATAAAAAAAATAAAAAGATATAAATGACATCGCCGGAAGTATAAAAACAGCATTAATTTATGAAGAAATAGTGTTATAATGGAAGTTTTATAATGGAAGCAGATATGTTTTTGGCGCTTTCAGTTTGCATCAGTATAATTAAGAATCTTTTATATTGAGAAAATGGAGAGAATCTGATTATCCCCTTAAATGGAGCATTTCTCTTTAGAATTGATCTATACATTTTTTTTACACATGCACACATGGACACTTATTGATCTTCTTTCCAACATCGTAAAGGTAAATGGGACACTCTTGATTGCCTGATTATTCATAGAAATCATTAAAACTTAAACGCAGGATGCGATATCCAGCAAAACACTTCTATGTCTGAGAGATTTCCGTTCGAGTGCTACTTACAGTTATTGTCAATAGAGAAAAATGCATTATCGAGTAAAAATAAAACGATGCAACTTGTATGAGTAATGGAACAGGCTATAGGCAAACTAGAGATACGTCTTTCACTTTCCAAGATGAGTTTTGCTTTATTCGCTTCATCCTGTAGTAAATGATGAAATATTACTGAAATATTACATGATTAAATATTACTTTGTACATCACATTATTCCATAATTTGATTATGATGAGATGGGAAATAAATTAGATAAAATTGTATTATTTTTCCTCAATACACAATTTTGTAACTAAAAGCTGATAAATATAACGAAGTGCCAAATATTACGTATAAGACACATTTGAAATCGTTATTTATGACAGTGATTATGCGAATGACAATGCGGTTGTTACTTGAAGTTAGGAAGTCGTTACCTACTTAACGCGTCGCGATATAATGGCTGTCGCACTGAATATGGATTAGGAAACATAAATGTCGTTACGGATCTAAATAATGCAATTTTATTATCGAATGTATCGCGTGTATCACACAATGCATGACACATAGGAGAAATTTATATTTTTTCTGTGTTTTATTTTTGGCTAAATTGCTACAGTTATGTCATAAAGTACTAATTATTGTCTATTGACTTATGTCACGTCGCAAGAAAGCGATTTATACTCCTCATAATTTGAGATGAATTACATCCGCGAGAAAAAAGATGTTGAAATGATGTGATGATATATATCGCGATTATTTTTTCATTTTTTCATTCACGACATACTTCTAAGATGTAAAGGAAAAACTGATATTATTTCCGAGCAATCGTTTCCTTCATTATTTTATACTTCAACTTGTTTTGATATAAATGCAAAGTCACGTCATTTCATGAATATGTGCTTAATTTCACTACAATTGTATTGTATTTATGTATTTAATTTTTACATTCTTTCTAGGGAATCTTCAATTTTAATTTTAATTTTAACTTAACTATATCAATCACTATAGGCGAATTTATAAATAAATTCTTAAATTCTTCGTAGACGTTACATAGAGAAATTGAGAGAAATTAAATTGAATATCTCAAATGATTTATAAGAAAGTCACTTAATTTGGTGATTAACTCTTACTCTTTTTTACTACAACTAGAAATTTTAATGTTTATTAAATCTTAAAACATAAATATCTTGAGAGAAAGACATTATTAATATGCTGCTACATGTCTCACATGCGTTATACGTATACATTAAATAGTTTAGAGTTCTATCTATATGGATATAATTTTGGCTTCAATAATACGAGTCTCACAACATATGTTTCTTGCTGCAGCTAAAAAAATGGATTTCTTTTGAATCGATTGAGATCTCTTCGACAGTTTCTGCACCTTCTAGATACTAGTCAAAAGTCTTATTATTCTTCTTTTCAGAAAGTTCTATTCCAGTTCTATTCCATAGACATATGTTGCAACATGAAGGATCATAAAGCATGAGCTTGAGCAGTTCTCAAAGCAAAACGTTACTTGCTTTCCACAGAGGAGATCGTGGCACGATGATTATCGTTTCTATCCGCCCATGTGAGTAAGAGTTGATCCAGTGGGCATCAGCGAAAGCGAAATCTCTACTCTGGCTGGACCAAGGGGCACGGGGAGAAGGAAAAAGGTCGGGAGATGAAAGTATATACACAGTCGGCTTTTGAGAGAGATGGAACACGGGTCCCCAGTCATATTGCGAATGATAGTAGGTAGGGGCCTTTGAGTCGGGCCCACAGGCAAACTTTCACTCGCAACTCGTTTCTGGCACATATTTCAGACTCGCGTGCGCGAAACTCGAGGCGGGATGAATGTAGAAAAATTAAAAAAACCGATCGCATATAGATGATTTTGTTCGAGGGCACCCGGGAGAGGGAAGGTACACGTCGTCCATGTTTGTCCGACTGACTAATAACGAAATTAGAATTTTTCGTCAGTTGTCTTTTAAGTGCGTGACGGTACCCACATCGCGGTCATTAGTCTACGTGCCGACTGTCAGTGGTGCGGTGATTTATTGTAACTGGCTGTTTTTATCACAATCATAATCATCCATACCTGCCTTTAGGTGGTCACGGTCTCAGTCATCCGTTAGATCCATTTGATCTTACTCGATTATTCGTCAGCTGTTGATAAATGGATTTCTGGATGTTGGCGCTCTTCAATAATTTCCACTTGAGTATTTGGATCGTTAGGTCAAACTAACACGTTCAATCGAAAGTCAATACGCATAATTGTGTGCAGATGCAGCAGCCAATTTATCATTTCCGCGGATAGAAATATCTTCGAGAGGAATAACATCGCGAATATATTTTGCCAGTAAAAAGATCAGTCGCGTTATTAACGCATTCTTTTGTGCTCGCAAAAGTTATCAATATTGAAAAAGTTGTTAATATAGGATCTTTATGGTGTGACTGTATAATAGCAGTTATTAAAACATTTATATAAATACATAAAAAAATTAAAGTTTGAGAAAAGAAAAATTTATTAATCAATAATTGATTTTAGATACATCTTCAGATCAAATCAAATTAATTTTTCTGCATATATAATATAATTTTTTTTTATATAATATAATTTATTTATTCTTGTCCAGTAAAATCTTCAATTGTTGATGCAATTGAATAAAACCTCAAATTGATTCAGAGCTCAAGGATAAAAAATTATATAGCCTAGTAATGGAAGTTACGCCATAATTCAGCGGCCTCAAACGTTTGTGGTGAATGCTCGTAAAGTACAATATCGTAAATATGTTTATTACAATTTTTCCTGCGACTCGACCGTCTTTTTTTGTAATCAAAGATCCAGTTCTCTGAAATTGAGTTGAGAGTTGAGATAAGTTTCGCGAATAAACAAGCTTCAATCGATTTTTTGCTAGCAATAGTTTCGATCTTCGACAACAAAGAATGTCTTAGCAGGGAAAGAGAGCGGGAGAGAAACGCCGTTCTAGCAACGAATTTCGGGCTCGATATTCTCATCAGTCGTCGACGGGAAGTGCAATCGTGTCCGCAGTTTTGTTATATCGGCTCCACGTAAATGTCCGCAGTGGTGCAGTGACATAAAGATACCTATATTTGTCTCTACGTGTTTTTTTTTTTCGTTAATTTTGTGCATGATTATTACTAAGGGAGAGTATCCTCCCTTTTCTCGTTATTTATATCCTCATTTATTTATATTATTTATATCTGTCGAATTCAAGAATCATGCTTTTGTGAAAGATACTCGTTCAAAGTAGTGATTATCTCTCGGGGATCTATCAATATAAATTATTAGATGATATAAATATAACTTTACATATTATTTAATATGTGAAGATTATATAATACGTGTAGAAATAAATGAAACGAGATGTAGCATGATTGCAATATAATGACACAGTCGGTCTATAATAATTATAATAAAAAATATATAAAACTAATTTTAGTTTGAAAAATCTTCAAAAGCAAAATAAATGTTTCACATTGATAATATAAACTTTATTTAAAAAATAACTCAAAAATTGCGCATGCTACAATATTGAATTATAAGGAATTGAGTTGATCGATTAATTTATGTCAGAATTGTTTCCGTAAAGAAAAAATTTGATAACAACTTAATTAAGGAAAAATGTGTTTTTATTTATTTATACAATCCGTTTTTAGGCTATAAAAAGAAAGATCTCTGTGGTGAAATAATTACAATGTGAACAGTAATTTACTTTTTTAAATTAGAACTCTTTTTTAATTAGAACTTTCGGAAATAAATATGTATCACACATATAACTGGCTTACGGTTTGTAGATGCGTTATGTGAAAATTATCTAAGTTTCTACGTAATATATAAAATAGCTTTTACCTGATATATATATAATATATAATGATCGTATAATAAAGAACGGAAATAACAATTCGGCAAATGTTGTACTCGATCTTACGATTTTATTTTGATTCTCGTCTCTTTATCTCCATTTTATTTTCATTCAGAATATAATATATATTTTTCTTTAATACGTATATTTCAAGAATTGTTACTTACTATGTTTGTTGATTATATAATTCTATTATATAATTTTTTTTTAATAAATTAACATTCATAGCTATGACATATAAACACGTATAAATCACACATATAAATATATTTAAAATATAAAATTAATGACAATTAATGAATGATAGATAGCGTCGTTATTACTGTGATTAATCATTATATCTTTCATTTAAACTTGGAATTTAAGTTTAATTCATCCATCTGTCTCGCGAAAATTGATTGATCTTTTTAAGATATAAACTGGAACATCTTTTTAAGACTAAAACTAGAAAGAAACTAGAAAGACCAGAAAGGACTTGAGTCAGAAGGATAACTAAACTATAATTTAACTTTCAATTTTATTTGTATAATACAGACGGCTTCTCTTTTATCTTCACTAAGCTTTCTCCGCGTTAACTTTTGCATTTTATTATCCTTGACATCAACACTCGAAGCAAGTAGTCATCAATCTCAAATAATTTTCTCCTATTTATTGATAGAAATCTGTGATATAGCTTTCTTGGCAAGTCATTATTACTCATATATATTACGATGCATACTCATGTATATGCATCGTGCTACTTAATAATTATTAACGTACTAGTCTTCGTGTTTCAACAATACACACATCTTTTTTTTTTTTATAAAGATTATTACTCGCATAAATATTTCATCCAAAATCCGTCAATTTTGGAAGCTCACGAGAAATGGACATCGTCACCGCCTGTTATTGTTGAATAACAACGTTGGTAGGCGATGCATTCTTCAAAGTCCGCTCATCCTCCGCTCGTGGTCACTCCGATCACGTATGTTTTACGATGTCTCGTGGTCGTAACTATGATCGCAGCTGCGGCGACATTTTTACATATTAACAATTACAGGCCTAGTAAGTTGAAATAATTACTTTATCAAAATTAGAATACATTAACATATACTTTGCCATGCATAAGTCTTGTAAATTTAATGCAACTTTCAATTTCTCTTAAATGTTCATCTAAAATAAAATTTATAATTCATGGCGGAAAGTTACTTACAGTTAGTTATAGTTTTCTTAAATGTTTTCGATATTATATAAAATTAGGAGAAATTGTAAGTAAAATCTGATCCCATAAATGTATATATTTTTACACATGAAGCGAGTTTTAAACACAGCACATGTTTGAAAATATATTAATAAAGTAAATCGTATAATTGAACGCAAAGAAATGCATTAGGCATCGAGTTATAATAATTTATCCGATCGGAATTAATTTAATAATGATTTAGTAATATGAATTATTTATAATGAAAATAAATGTTAGGTAATGAAATAATAATGCGCTTCTTTCTCCAATCCACTGCAACATGTACCATTACATATACGCGCGTGCATCATTAGTTTTTCTTTATTAAATAGTACTTTCTATGTGGTTTGTAACTTTCATCTTTGTCGCTTATCCACTCGAATTTTTTTTTTGCTGGACGAAGAAGAAAACCGCTTTTATCAAGATAATTTTCCTCTTCCTTAATCTTTCTGTTCTTTTTCAGAACAAACATTTCTCTCCTGCGATCGGCCATGTCATCACTTGGATTGGCCTATGATCTGCCGGGTGAAACTCACACTAGAAGTCTTCCAATCGCTCAGCAAGTAAGCCAATCATTCAATTATATTTTTTATCGGTTACATACATTTTGCGAGAATTTAATTCAAATGCATAATGAAAGAAAAATTTTATTATAAATACAGACGTCAGAAAAGAGGTTAAATCCCATGATCCGTCTCATCTGCATGCAGACTTTCAAATCAGCTGATTATTATACGTTTTGTATTAAATCATCAAGGTTTCGATAAAAAATCGACAAATATCTGAATTATTGCATCAAATATTTTTTTCTACTTGCTTTGCTTTAATAGGCATTTCATATAATATCCATTATTGTTTTCGACAATTTTTCAAAAATTTTTATTTGAAAAAATCAAATATTTAATTTATTAGTACTTTGATCAGCTAATATCAGATTTTAATAACCAGTTTCGTCTAATCTAGCACATAATAAATAGAGAAAGCAATTCTTGACAGTAAAAGGTTCAAGTAAGAAGGTTAAATATTAAATAATAATCTAGATTACGTCGAAGTTGAATGCTGCAAATAATATTTATTATTACACAATGTTCTATTTACATTTTAATAAAATGGTTATTCATAATTAGATCTTATAATAGATCAAGGTTGTAAAAAGCTTTATGTTAAAATTATATCAATTAAATTTATATCATATTATTAAAATTATATCAACTAAACTAAATATTATAATTATATTATTATAACTAAAGTGTATTATTTGCTTTCGAGCTTCTGTAATGAAATATTAATTTCGGATTTTCTTTTTATAATGTTGCTCGAGAGAACGAAAAGTGGCCAATTTTAAAGGGAAAGTTTTCTCATGTAATAAAGAATCGCATAGGATCGTAACCGTCTCACGCGAAGGACACTACATATTACACGCATTTCGCGAAATTACTGCATTATAAACAGTTCGTTTTTGCGATTGCAACATCGTGTGCAACGTCATTACACCGTTGCATTATATTTAACTATGCAACGGGCATAACGCACGGACCGTTGATGTAATAGCTTATGCAATTCTTAATCGGTCTAAGGCGGAAAACTCTCACGATCAACCGCACACCGAGTTGTCGAAATCAACGAGCAAAACGAGATTCATCGCCGGGTAATAATACGGTACAGTTAAGCCGAGACTGGAGAAGACCGAATCTCAATTTTTTGTTAAACCTTAATGAAACCGTATGCAAAATGATTACAAACCTGTCTCTAATAATATAGTATTTGTTCTCTCTTTTCACGTAATACGCGATGTTTATACATTTTCAAATAGTTCATGCAATTCAGTGACATGTACACAGTAAAAAATAAAATGTTAATTTTTATATTTTTCACCAGAAGTCCCAGAAAGTCCACTCTAAATTTTAAGTTAAAATGACTCATTCGTCGTATGTTACTTATTGACAAACTAAAAATGTTAAATAATTGATACTTTACATTTATTTACTTTACATTTACTTTACATTTATTTTTGTTATTGTGAATTTAAATGTAATGTAAAAATAACATACAAATTAATTAAAAATTACATGAAAAAGTAGTTACAATAATTCGTAAGAATTCTTACGAATTATTAAGTAGGACTAGAAGAATATTAAGTAAGACATTAACATATAATAGTAATTATTTTAACTTAAATCACTTGTAATAGAAACATTTGATTTTAGTAAATTTGATTATTTTGTATGTCAAAGTTCAAGATTATTTAAAGATTTGCTTTAACTTTTCTTAGAATGTTAAACTGATGTTGAGACATGTTGATTGTTTAAAATGATTATGTTAAAAATACTCAAAATAATATTCCATTTTTAAGAGACATATACAAAGTGTTAAGTTATGAAGTTGAAATAAATGTAACACATGAAAACGTTATAAAAATAATAACATATAAATTGTATGTTAATTTTACATTAAAGTACTAATCAAAACGTGGTAACACAAGAAAATTTTAACATGTGCGCACAATTTTTTACTGTGTCTTATTTATAACAGAGAGAGAAATTGTACGATTTTCTTTTCAAATTATTTAGATTTCTTCGTTTATATATATATATAAAAAATCGATAAATGTATAAAAACATATAAGTACGAAATTGTATACGAATTTTATGCGGAAAACTACGATATAAAAAATATTATTTCATACAAATATACAAATCTGCGCTTTTACTTTCGATGAGAGATACAACAAATATATGTTCAGCTTCGTATAAATACACATTATAATGCTAGAAATCGAAAGCGATTTTTTTACGCGAGTTCTTTACAGATCATGCGGGGATTGTCCGTTGAATCAGACCGCTTGCTTAGCCAAGCATTGTGTTTCCACGGATGGACAGAGACGAGGCATCCTTACCGCCAATCGTCAAATGCCAGGACCCAGTATTCAGGTATGACCTCGATATACACCATCGATCAATAGCCCGAGTGCATTATTGCTTCGAACACGGAAAAGTTCACCGCAAGCGTCTTTCGAAATCGCCTTTCTATATTCTTTTTTAATTAAAGTTTATATTATAATGTCACATTGACTTATAAAACTTTTGATAATATACATGTATTAACATATTCGCTTCAGGTGATTTTCTCAAACGCGTGAAAAGACGATATTTCTTTTCCCAAAACGAATGTGTTAATATAATACTAATTAATATCATGAAATATATTATTTTAATATATGATATTATATTATATATGATATTATAATATATTATTTAATAATATATGATTTACATATATGTATGTAATAATATATGTATGTGACGATTTGAAATATTTAATATAAAGCTATATGTATATATATATATATATATATATATATATAAAAAATATATATATATATATATATATATATTTTTTTTTTTTTTTTTTTTTTTTAAATAGTTATTAATTTTTTTTATAATTCTGCTATTGCGTAGAATTAAAAATGGATTATTTAGTTTAATATGACGTCAAATATTTTGGATTTTACTCATAAAATTCAAGACATGTTTAAATTATTAATTAATAATGTACAATCAATTTTATTATCCCAATGTCGCTTTATTATATTTATCATTGCTTAATTCATATTTATTATTATATATTTTACCAATATTATCGCTAATAATTTTATACAAAGATTACATTAAGCTGCATATATCTGAATATGCGGAATTTTAGACACGTGGCTTTGCCGATACCTTCATTTGCAATCTTCAATTGCAACGAAAATTAAACTTCTATTTTGTGTTAAAATTAACTCGCGTAGTGATTGAAACGCGTATACAATATACAGTTTTGATAATTAATTGTGTTGCTTGAACACGTGGAAATAATCTCGCGCACGTGTCTCGGTTAACTAAGTGAACACTTTGAAGTGAAGCGAGTTTTACTGGGCCTCTAATTGATCTTCCTGGTAAACGTTGCGAAGCTTTAGAAATGTTGATTAAAGCTAAATTCTAAATCCATATTTTGTAGACTCGAGCATTACACGTATTTCCATATCAAATTCTAATTGTTTAAAATCCTTCTTTTTACAGCATTATAAAATTATAGAATTATAAAATAAAATTAAATAAAAATTATTTTTTTAAGAAAAAAATAATATTGAAAATATTTATAAAATAAATACATTTACGTGATTTTGACGGCAAAATTGAAACGCTGATTACAATTGTTTTAGTAGCATGTACGATCTAATGTCTTGGTAAATATTTCTAAAGCTTTATCGCGATAATGTGACTAATTAGCAACTTCCAGACAGGTTTACGCTTTTTACAGGTTTGTGAAAATGACATCCTAGTAATAGACGTCATTAATCGTCTTCCGGGTAAGGCAATGGCGATACATTGGCGTGGACAGACGCAAGTGGAAATGCCTTACATGGATGGCGCACCGCTGATCACGCAGTGCCCAATACCAAGTTACACCACTTTCCAATACAAATTTCGTGCCTCCATGCCAGGCACACATCTCTGGCATGCACATGCAGGTGGATAATTGTCATTTACTTCATGCATAGTAAATTAAAAAAATATTTAAGCTCACGAATATTTTCTATCACATCTATTAATTCGTTAAGGCTTAAATTTATCAAGTTTAAAATCAAAAGTTTTTAATTTAAAAATTTTAATTTAAAAATTTTTTAATGTAGAAAAATGTGTTTATTTTGAATATATATTTTATAAGTTGGGTTTGTTTTATAAATTAAATTTAGTCATATACGATGGATTTAATGACTCAATATTATTATATGTCCCTTGGCACTATTTAATAATTATTATTACTCTAATCGACACATATAAATTGATCCATTCGTTTTTCGAAAAAAAACAAAAAAATAAAAGGCGCTGATATCACCAACGGCATTTTCGGAGCATTGATCGTGAAGCAGGCGGACCTTCGAGAGCCGCATCGCGCCCTTTATGACATCGACGACCCTAATCATGTGGTTCTGGTGACCCACTGGCAACACTCGCCGGAAGTATCGTTTAATCAGGGTCACGTGAAACCGGCGATTCTTCTGATCAATGGGAGAGGTCGTCAGCCCACCGGACCCACAGTTCCCCTAAACACGTTCACGGTTATTCCGGGGCGACGTCATAGATTCCGTGTCGCTAATGCCGGAGGCGCCGGTGCCTGTCCAGTGACGCTCTTCATCGACAGTCACACGCTTCTCTTGATTGCACTTGATGGGCATCCTATCGAGCCACGGCAGGTTACTTCGATTACCCTGGCAAAAGGTCTGAGTCCCGTTAATACCTTCCCGGAACTTCTACGTAGTAATTGACGATAACTATAGATGTTACATCAACGGGAATTCTGTGGTATCTCCGGAAAATCAAACGCGCTCAATTGAAAAATTTCTTGTTTAGAATTTTAAATTAATGGAAACTAAAAAGTGAAAATATTTTATCGCTGCTCGCAAAGATTGTAATTCAGTAAATTTATCTTTCTAGCTCGCTTGACGGCTCTTTCCTTCACAGTAAATAATTTTGTGTTAATTTTAACATATTTCACACGTCCCAATTTATCCACTCTAATTTTAATGTTAATTTAACAGAAGGCAAGTATGTATAGTAAATAAATAACACAAGTAATATGTTTAAAAATTAACACAAAAGTGTAACACTTAAGCTTTATCTGGAAATAAAGTTTATGTTAAATTAACATATTTATAATATTAAATTTAATGAAAAGAAAATGTTATTCTTATATTTTTATGATAAACAACAGAGGAGATATGTCGATCTAATATGTGGAAACTGTTATAGAGAGAAAAATAACACAACTTACTCCGTTCATTTTAACATATAACATATTTCATGAAAAATTCGTGCATTTACATATTAATTGTATTGTTTTAACTCTTAGAAACGGTGAATATTAAAGGCAGAAATGTCAAAATAATGCAACGATAATATGTTACATTAACATAAGAGTATGTTAAAAATTTAACACAAAAATTTTTACACGAAAAAATTTTAACAGAAATACAAAATGTTTTTTAACGTGTTCTTCATTGTTTCTATTTTTGAATATCAGATCTCGAATAATGTATTTCGCAATTCTTTATCGAGTTTTTATAAGAAGTTTAAAAAAATTCCAAACAAAATTGGATATGATTATAATTCAGTTTTACTCGCGGAAAGCGGGATTTTGTGCGATTTCTCGCAATTTTCAACGAATCGCGCCGAGAATAATGAACGATCTTTGATATTCGTTAAAGGTGAAAGGGCAGATTTTGTTCTCAAAGCGAGCAAACACGTCGCTTCCTATTGGATGAACGTGCATACGACGAAAGAATGCGGAACGAGCACGATAAATGGCGCGGCCATCCTCAACTATAAAGGCAGTTCGGAAATTCCGGCGGCGGAAACTATCGATCAGCAGGATATCGACAAGATAGGGATGAACCAGTTGGCTGCGATGACGAATCCTATCGAGAAGTGCGGCGGACAAGAGAGCCTGTGCGTCATGGATATGCAGAATATCCGTAAAATGCCACGAGCCCTGGCCATGCCCAAAATGGACGTGACACTGTATCTGCCGATTAATTACAAGATGCAAGCGACGGAACTGATAGGTGCGTATCGAGAAAAAATGATGCAACAGATGAGAAGTGAAAATGAAATTAAGTCGCAATCGCATCAATTAAAACAACGCGAACAAACGTAATCGCCTGATTAAAAATTCTCTAGCGCGCGTTTCACCACTTCTTTATTCACCGCGCAAACGTTCCGGGTTATTAAAATTTTGCTACCGATTATGTTTCGCGTACATAATGCAATAATGCGATGTATCCGGGTCAAGAAGCTACGCTTTCACCGCTATTATTTCTCTCATAAATCTTTTCATCCGTCTCTTCAGTTGTTAACTTTTTGATGGATTATTTCTGGCTGATCTTTGAACCCTTAGATGAGTAATAACAAAATTATTATAAAATACTTGAGAGTAGAATTTGAAAAATGAATATAAATTTTTATTTTCTCCAATTCAAGTCAATTTGATCAAAATAACAATTTTATTCGAGGCTTCAGATTCCAAGTATATGAAAATAAAAAGATTTCGTTGTGGAAAAATCGGCTCCACACTTGTTTAAAAATATTTGATCGCTAATAAGGAATCGATAGCAGCTTCAATTTCCTCTGATTTAAAAAAAAAAAGAAATCTCCGGATGCTCATCATCCGGCGCAAAGAACTGAAAAAGTGATGCTCAATTAAAATCGTATCAAGAGAATCGTATAATTAATTTCGAATCAAGAGGAGAATCAGGAGCGCCGCTCAATTAACCCCGATGATCTAATCATACTATGGAAATCATGTTTCTTCTTCGTTCTCTTAGGTAATAGAGGGACGGAAACGCGAGTGTTAAACGTGAACAACGTCACTTTCACGTATCCGTCGTCGCCGCTGTTGACCCAGGGTGGCGATGTGTCGCCGGATATGATGTGCTCCAACCACGACGACGACGACGCCGATGACGCTCACGAGAATAATGACACGGTGTCGCGACGACGGTGCCGTCCGGTCGCTGACGGCGGCGTCGCGGGTGACATGTGCGAGTGCGTCCACGTGCGTCACGTACCGCTCGGGGCGACCGTCGAGATTATTCTCCTGGATCAGGGTAATTAACTTCGTTCAAACGAGATCAAAACTCGCGCAATGTCACGTGTGTCTTGTGTCCCGATCTCGTTTATTCTTTATAGGATTCTTTATAGATGTACATTCTTCTTTTTTCCTCTTGTCCTCGCTCGAAATCTCCAATTATCTTCCTGTGTAATATTTGAGAAATATTGGAAAAGCTCGAAATCTCCAATTATCTTCCTGTACAAAATTTGGGAAATATTGGAAAAAGGCCTTTTATCCATATTCGATGCTTTTCGCGTGATATTTTAGGAGGAAATATGATATTTATCAATATGTTATATATTTTTTTCGTTATATATGACGTAGAATAATATGGCTGAAACAATGTTGCGCCATTGTGGAAATTTAAAAATATTGTAGAAAAATAATATGTGATGTTGAATTTCATTAAACGAGTTTTCATACACGCACGCAAAATGATCAATGTAACAAAGGTTCTTTTATGATTAAAAATGAATTTTATAGTGGCGAAAAAATATAATTAATATCTTAATTTCAATATCTGTGTCATAAAAGATATTAATACAAAACAAGAATACGTTATTTGAATAAAAAAAATAAATAAAATGATAATAAAAATAGTCTTTTGCGCAAGATTGTATGAAGACGCTCATTATATCAATTAATAATTAATAGTATAACTATTAATTAATGCCATACGTACTTGGGATAATCTCACAATAAGCGGAATAGATAAAGGGAATGAGATAAAAGGAAACATTAACGTATAATGGAGCGTAAGCTCGACCATGGTATCTTGATGTCCTTGATTCATATTTCATATTTATCGGGAAAGCCGGCAATAGAATTGATTTTACAGTGTTCCATCTTCATAAATCATTTCCAGCGAAGCGTATATTATTAAAAAAAAAAAAAAAGCAATGTTTGACGCATTACCTCTTTTTATTATCTAACGCGGCGATTTTTTCTCAATATCTGTGCATTAGCTAAAAAAAAACTTTTATAACATTTCTGATAATAATCAGTCTCCTTTATAAAATTTCGCAAATATAGAAACATTCATTGATATTATTATATTTTTCATCGAATGATATTTTTGTCAATCTATTTAACAACGACTTCTGACTCTGTTAGATCTATCTTCGTCATGGAATTTTTTTATATATCTAACAATTTGATTATTAGTTTTAATTATTAATTTTTAATTATTAGTTTTTTATACATCCAATAATTTAATTATTAATTTTACATCATAAATTGATGTTAAAATATAAAAGATTCCATTTATTCGGGAGTTAATAAGTTGTCACTTTGCTGTAGGCGGTCTGGACGATCTGGTTTACCACTTACACGGCTACAGTTTTTACATAGTGGGCGCGAGACAGTTCGGTCGAAGTGTATCACTGCAGGAGGTGAAGAAACTCGATAAAAGGAAGCAATTATTTGAGCGAAATCTCGACTGTCCACCGATTAAGGACACCGTAATCGTGCCCAAGTTCGGTGTCGTGGCATTGCGATTTAAAGCCGACAATCCAGGTAGGTCTTCTTCGTTCATCGAACTTACAGATTACGTAACATATAGATCGTTTCTATATTTCGACCGGATGAATCGTTAATCTGCATCCCTTTAAATAAACGAGAGATAAATTGTATGAAAATATCAAGATATATAAAAATATTTTTAAATGAAAAGTTTTTTTTCGTCTGTTTAATAAAATATTCGACGAATAATAAAACTTTCATTTGTCGTTGCTTCGAATTTCGATTTAATCATCAGCTTCCAAGATTTATATTTTTTATAAACTATAACGCATAAAATAGCATTTTCCGATCATTTTAAAAGAAAAATCTATTTGGAATTTATCGAATATTCTTGATTGATGACTAATTTGATAAAAATGCCAAGTAACGCTTATATAACAACAAATCTTGCGAATCGTTATTTTTTATCTCTTAAGTAAACGAGACAAAAATATTAAGAAAATATAATATTAAGATCCATTAAAATAATAAGATCCATTAATTTTTCGCGAATTTAATAAGATATTCGATAGATAGTAAAACTTTAATTTGTGATTCCTTCAAATTTCGATTTAGGCTTCAAGAAATTGCATATTGATATTTTTTATAAACTATAATAAATAACGTTTTCGAGAAAAGTCGAGTTGGAATTTATCAAACATTCTAGTATCGATAACTAATCTGGTAGAAACGCAAAGTAACGCTTATATAACAGGAACTCTTGCATTAAATGACTGATGATACTACGAGATTTCTCACTTTCACATCATTCTACAGGTTATTGGATGTTGCGTGATGAACATGCGGCTGATTGGACTCGCGGTTTGGATGTTGTTTTGCAAGTCGGAGAACCTAGCGACATGATACCTCCTCCACAGGACTTTCCCAAGTGCGGATCCTTCATCGGACCCGACTATTTCCTTATATAGACTGTTGTAATCGCTTAAGTTGAATATGTATATAATTGTATATAACGGTAGGCCTAAATATGTGGCCTAAAATTAACGGTTTTTTTTACGAATAAATATATCGAATTATATCGATTTATATCAAAATTGTTCTCGTTAGTTTCGAATACGTCCTTTCACCGGATTTTTTTCAAATCCCCGCATTATATTATACTTCCTCTCGACGAAAATGACTCGATTAGTCCCCATAACTTTCTCATTTTCAAGTTTAACTAACTCGACTTTGTGGTAAATAAATTGTTCCAAGAATATCTGCCGCTAAAACGTAATGTACAGCTTCATAATTTTCAAGTTTTAATAACCGAGAGCTTTATGAGTTATGATTGCGCCGTACTTATAAAGTAACCACGTTTCCAAAACTTAAAATTAGAACTACGCACACGAGCATACACTGTATATATTATCTAATATACAATCTTTCCGCTCCTGTTATTCGCTTTTATCCTCAAACAAGCGACAAACGTTTCGCTTTCACGGTTTATTTCACGCATTTCCGTTCGTTTGGATGCGACTGGACGTAACCGCGATGTCCTCTGCGGTGACGGTGACTCCCAAAGGATCAGAGGACTCGTCAGTAATGTCCTGCCTGAGTGCGCTAGACTCGCAGTTAGCGACCCTGCTCTCGGTGCCTGAGATCTTGTTTCTGCGACACAGGGTGTTTCGCGAATACGCTAAAATTGCAGTCGGGCCGGACTTTATCCACACGTTACCGTCCTTTGTAATCGTGATAGCTGTGCTGCTCGTCCTCTGGAAGAATCCTCCGTCCTTCGCTTGGCTGATGGATCTCGTCGGCGTTCACTTCGCGACCTTCGTTTATAAAAGTTTTCAGGTACGAGATTTCTAGAGATCCGCTGTGTAACTAGTGCTCTTCCACGTGCACGTTTTTTCAAGGTGTCAATCAGCTGGTTCACGATTACCGCGCTTTTATGGTTATGGCTGATCCTTCAAAGGATACTCTACTGCAGCGTCTGGCATTATTGGAGTTATGTGAGTGGATTCCTTATTATTTCTCTTGTGATGGATAAAGAAATCTCATAATGTTCAAATTGTTATTTTATTGATTTTATATAAAAGAATTTAAACATTCTTCTCTATTAAAATAAGAAATAGCTTTCTAAAGCTTTCTTCTACACATTAATCATACGTAAATATATTTTTATATTTATATAAAAATTGATAATATAATTATAAAATTATATAATTTATAATTATTAATTATTTTATATAATTATAAAATTATATAAAAAAAAACAAATATATATAAAATCGTTCTAGGAAACTGAGTATCGAGATATTTCATATCCATGGTGGCAACGTGTCTGGTCCTCGTACTATCCTGCACCTACACAGCCGCCCGTGATGTCGGCTTGTTTTATCAGTTGGATCATCGCGATGTCGATCGGAATAATTGCACTAGGATGCGCAATAAACATTGATCACTTGAAAACTTTCGTTGAAAAAATTTCAAATAAACTTCGGAACGCTCTCGCGATGACGAAATCTTATATAGAATGGTCACAAGATAGGTTGGTCACAAGATAGTATTGCAATTGGTGTTTCGATTATCTCCTCGATTATCTCATTTTTGTTTCGGTAATTCTGTTTGTAAATATTTTGCAAATATCAATTTGAATTTTTCTAATCAACAAATTTTGCAGCTTTGTATAAAGTGTATGTGTATTTATATTATTTTTTTTTGAAACTCAAGTTTTATTTCACAGTATCATATTAATTCTTTTAATCTATAAAAACAAAAAAATTATAGTAATAATAATATGGAAATCTCTAAAATAATAAATAATTTAAAAATTTAAATTGAAAAAAATTAGATTTTAGTATGTATGATAATAATAATAGTAATAATAATAATAATAATAATAATAATAATAATAATAATAATAATAAATAATGATATGTATCAATAAAATATTCTATGAGTGAAATTTTCGTGCCTAGAACGCAACAAATACTTCTACTAAGTTCCGAGGCAAATGCAGCAACAGATGACAGTGAAATGAGCTCAGTTTGCGACGACGGTCACTCAGAAATATCCACTGATGCGAATGCGGCACGAGGAGATATACGTCCGATCTCTTATGGAACAAATTGGATGCCACCGCCGAATTTTTCTGCGTTCAAGGAAGCACAACGAAAAATATCTTTGAAATCCTTTCACACAGTCATGGGCGTGAACGACGTTCAGGTAATAATGAAAAAGGGAATTTTTCTTCTCCATTATTTATATTATTTTTTTTTATGTTTGATGTATTACAATTATTTCTACACAGATTTCACTTGACTATCTTGCATTTTTTTTTTCTAAATAAGAATAACGTAAAAACGAAGGCAGACAAATAAGCGAACTTATTGAAGCAGTTATCCCATCTTTAGAGGAATTTTTTTTCTAAAAATTTCGGAATTTCGAAGAAATTCCTAATCTCGGTAGATAAATTGCAATGACAGCTATCTCTTCCAGGATCCCGACAAATTCGCGGCCAAGCAATTCCGACACCGACGTGGCTGTCACACAGTGATACCGGGTAATTCTAGCGAGCAATCGAGTGGATGTTGAAGAGACTAGTCACTAGCATTCGTCGAATGCTCACTATAGAACACGTGCCTTCAATTAATCGCGAATAACGCTAATATGAAAAAATTTCCATGAAGGCGACACGTCAACTTGCATCACTGTAGATGACGTTTAATTTGAATAACCGCCTCACGCGATGCTGTTTATATTTCGATAAGATTTTGTAGTTCGCTATATAACATTTATGCGTTATTTTTATACAAAAATTTCTATAAAAATATTTTTTATACGAGTGATATATAATCGTAGGCGAGCGAGATTTTATTTTTGAGATTATATCGAACAATATATCATCAAATGTACGTAATAAGTAAAGCAATGCGTAACATTACGTAATACGAAACCTTCTATTCAATGTCAATTAATAGAATATGTATATATATATAAATTTTTTGTGAATAAATATAAATTTCTCTATTCTGTTGTAATATTTTTTACACGTAAATTTTTAATACAACAGATTTAAAAAAAAAAAATACATTAATTTGTTCGTGAAAATTCGATCTAGTTTTCCATTTAACGATAATTTTGTCGATTATCTAATCATCAAGTAACACATTTCTTTTTATTTTATTTATTTAATACTTTTACTTATCTTTATTACCTTTTATTTTATAACTTTTTATTCTATTTTACTACCAAAATATAGATTTCTAATAAATAAGCAATATATTGATACATTTTATTTCGGTGAATCTGTCCAAAATGATTTACTATTTTATTTCTTCGAATGTCATAGTTTCGTTGTTAGTATCTATAAAAAACGTACAGAACAATTTTATCCTGTGACGAATTCTCCTATCCTCTTTTTGATTATTGAGTAAAAGATCCTGCCGCACTGCCGGATCCCAGGACTCCACCACTTAGTTTCGCTGGTTGGCGGGGATGTGCGCGAAAACGCGCATGCGTTCGAAAGGGGGTAACATTCCCCATCTTGAACGGTAGTATTATTCTGTAACCACATCTCTTGTGGGGTAGGTCGCAGATATTCCGTGACCGACGCGTCAGTAACGTCAAATAAACCTCGTCTACTCCGAAAGTGCGCTTTAGCAAACGTCACCCCTGACAAGTGAATCCGCACGAATCACTCGATTCGATTCAATTCGGGAAATCCTCCCCAGAAAGAGACCCAGGAGGAGATCTGATCCGAAAGCGGACTCTCGGGCGTGAGCGATTCTTTGCGACGTAGCAAACGTCTGCTTCCTCGAGCGATGTAATGATTACGCGCAATTCCGGATCCTATCACGACGAGACGGAAAATTGACGGTCACGGCTAGTGCATCGGAATCCTTAACGCAATCTTTGGTAAGAGAATTTCTTTCGACAAGATCAACAAACAGAATTTTTATAATATTTAAATATTAATTTTTATTTTGCTCCCTCGCGTGATATAAATATCTACCTAAACTTAAAATAAATTCTACTACGCAAAATAATGGAAACAAAGTTTTATATCATTTTTTGGACATCAAGATGCAAATTGTATCTAGCTATATTTGGAGAATAATTAGCTTAAGAAAAATTGCATGGGTGAGGCTATAAATTTTTGAGAGTTGTAATATTATTTTCTTCCCGCCAACGATTAATAAATCTGGCTTAATATTCTATTTTCACCCGACAAACGTATAGATCGTGTAACAATTAAGATTATATTCGTACACGACCTACGCCATTTAATTAACGACCATGTATTTCTCCTCGCGCAGTCAGGCGCATGATGCAAGCATCTTGTTGGTTTCGTTTGTTTATAATTATGGCAAGAAAGAATCAGTATTGTACTCGACAATTATAAATGTATTAATTATATAACATTTTATATAATTTTTTATTTTAGATACTTGAATTACGAAATTTCTTTTAATATTTTTTTATTGTTATTATATTTTCTGGCAACTATATTGCATTAATAAAATGTATTAAGTATTAAGTGCCATTGTATTAAATCAAATACACATATAATTTGGCATTTGAAAGTGTAAGTTAATTAAAAAAGTGCATATTAAAAAAAAATTTTAATGTCAGGAAATATCAAAGTTAAATGATTTGCGCTGATATTTTGTTATCACTGTAAAAATATTTTTTAGTGAAAAATGAATAATATTATTTCTCTTAGTTAATCATGCAATGAGCAATTTATTTCTAGTTCTATACATGATATCGTTTTAAAGATTATATTTATATTTTATTTTCCCTCTCCTTCTCCATATATGTTTTCTCTTTCTCTTTTTTCCTGATCTAAAGCATTCAAATATCCCGATGTACATCCTTGTATATCGCTGCTGTGACACAATCGTAATCCGATAGGGTATCAGCGAGCTTGCCATTGCGTCGTATCCGAATTTACGACCGAGGTTCATGGTCCACGTGTATACGTAGACGCGATGTAAACTTGATATTGATTTTGCGTTCAGCATCCGCGCGCAGGACGCGCGCACGATGCGCGCATACAATCGCAGCAGCATACACACTCGTACACGTATTCGCACGTGCGTATATTATTTCGCACGTGCACCCCCTTCATCCGCGAAATCCCGAATTGGCAGCACTACAATGGGGAAGGAAGCAGGGTGGCAGAAAGAGAGAAATTTCTGAAGGAGGGGACTTTTCAATGAGCGTACACGCGTTTTTGTGTACACGCGTGTGACGAGGATAATGCACGCGAAATGGACGTCGAGTGGGAAATCGGTTGCGTAGGTCCAGCTTCGACTACGTCAATTGAAAAGAGAATCCTTTAAAAGATGTTTAAAAACCGCTGCCATCAAATTCCATTTAAATAAATTTGATTAAATAATTTTTTAACAGCTGTTCCGTTTTAATTAAATAAATTTGATTCAATAATTTTTACAACAGCTTCTCTGTTTGTTCAGATTATCGGCAAGGATAGAAGTTTTATGACAGATATCCATTATGTAATTTGAAGTAAATGCGTTTGTAATACGCGATATTAATTCAACGATGAATTGATATATGTTAATGCAATTATTTACGCTATCTTTAATAATATCTACACCTAAATGCCACTTGTATTATTCAAAAGGTCAACATAATTTATATGTGTGACATGTATATATTGATGAAAAATCAGAGAGAGAAATAAATGAAACGGGGCGGCTATTGAAAAAGTAATTCCCAAACGACATTCGTAATTATTCATTATCAATTTGCAATTGCATGCTAGATTTTATTGAAACATGAGCAGAGAAATTTATCGCTAAGATGTATCGCTTGCCTATGAATGCAATAGTCACAACGAAATATTGGTATTGGATAAAATATGTACACTTGTGTTATTGACAAGATTTCGAGAATTTACATCGTGATATAAACTTGATCGATTTCTGCTAAATAGGAATTTATATATTGAAAGAATCTCAGGAAATAAATGAATTAAAATGAAATGGGAATTTTTGTAAAATAAAACTTGTGAATTTCTAATTTTTCTTTAAAAAAGAATGTGAAAAATAAAAAAAAAAAAATAAAAAAATGAACTTTTAACACTTAAAGAAAATAATAAAAGCAATTGTAAATATTAATAAATTTCTTTTTTAATTATTGATTTCGTAGATTTAAAAAAATTCAGCTTTATAAATTAGCTTGTAGCTTTCCATTTTAATCTCCATTTGATAATTATTAATTAATTTGAATTTAACTAACATAAATTATCTTAATATCGCTAGTCAATTAATCAAAAGATCATTGGAAATAATATAATCATTAAAATGTAATGAGCGTGCAAACATGACTTGTGCATTTTACAACACTATGATTTATATCTGTCATTTGATCTTATTTACTTGAAAAGGACCATAACCATATGGTCGAAATGTCATAATTAATAAACAAAAAATTTCTAGCTAGTTTTGGTCGATATATTATTGGTTATATTATTTCCAACGATCCTTTAATTTGAATTTGTCAGAAAAAAATAATAATATAAAATTTCTTTTCACATTTTCAAATTTCTTTTCACATTCAAATTAGCAATCTCTTACATGGGTTCTCTTATATAGGATGATATCGCGTGTATCTCTTTTTACCAGAAATGTGCTTGTACTATGCGTGATAGGAAAACTAGAACAATTTTAATCGATAATGCGAAGGTCGTAAAAGAGAATTTGCGTTTCATCCTTTCAATTACCCTCAAGGATCGGTTTCGCAATCCCTCCAGATATTCAATGTCAACTTTCGACACATTACAGGCTCCATGGCGGAGAAAATGTATTACTGGGGCGAGGAGAAAGATCAAGTCGACCCCGATCAGACCTTCATAGAGTTCAAGGCCAAATCGGTGGGGACGGACAAAAGACGCGAGCCGTCCCGCACTGTACCAAAAATGACAGTATCCTCGCCGCAGGGTAAAATGATCGAGATGAGCAATAGAGAGGAAGATGCCGAACGCGGCGGTTGGGACAATAAACTCGACTTTCTGTTTTCTTGCATAAGTGTCTCCGTCGGACTGGGAAATGTCTGGCGGTTTCCCTACCTTTGCTATAAAAATGGCGGCGGTAAGTCGATTTATAATACCAGATTTGCATAAAGAATCTATATAAACGTTCTAAATATGGAGTATTGGAATCTTAAATTAGTCTACGAATTCATAATTATATATTATCAATTTTATTTTTATTATCACAGTTTTATTTATGCAATTTAATTATCTAATTTTTTACTATTATTTTAAGATTAATAATAATAAAGTATTATAATACTTATTCTGCAATAATAGAATAAAACATATTTTTAATTCAATTTTGTCATTCATTTTAAAATATTTGTGATTCAAAATCAACTGTTTTATTAGATTTTTTTAACTCTTAGGACTCTTGATGGTTACTCATTTGCGACTTTCTTTAAATTGCCAGTGCAAGTCGAGAACGCATAAAGCGTTAAATTTCAGTGGCATCCGACATGCATAATTACCTTTCTAGCTTATGAAGTCATTCTTAATATATAAAGAAAATTGCGCGAACTAAAATATAGTTTAGCTCATAATTTCGTTTTTCCCCAAGAGCTTAATTACAACTGCACTGTTAATTAACTTCTTTTATGTATCATATAAAGAAAACATATTCTAAAATAGGAAAGGACAGTGATTTAAATTATAAACGAGATAGAGTATTTATTTTTTTTATCACTCGACATAAAAGTAATAATTATTATTTGCACAAGTAAATTGAATAATTATTATTTTTTCATTCCTTCGGAATTTTGCTGCAGGTGCTTTCCTGATCACTTACGGTATCGCGATGCTGTTTTGCGGAATCCCTATATTTTTTCAAGAAGTCGCTATTGGACAATATCTTGGAGCTGGTGGAATGTCATTAGTAGGACAATTATGTCCTCTTTTGCAAGGTAAGAAAATTACTTTTCGATATCTTCAAATTAATATTATATAACTCGGCCAACGATATATTAATAATCAATAATTTATTGTTATCTTATTTCAGGTGTGGGATATGCTACGATGACTATTGTATTCTTCCTCGATGTTTATTATTGCATAATCATTTCTTGGACACTTTTTTACTTAATAAGCACATTCGTAAATTTACCCAGAATACCTTGGAGTGGATGCGGTAAGTGACATCTCTTAAAAGTATCTAACGTTTGTATGAAAATTATGTTATATATTAAATCCTTTAAAACTATAGAATCTTTAAAAATATTTAGAATAGATCTTACATCTTTATATTTTATACAATAAATGATTAAAGATAACTGAAAGTATTGTATTAAAAAAGAATTGTGTTTTCTACATTCAAATAATATTTATATAAAATACTAAGCGGAGTAAACGCATCTTTATTGCTATTTATATATTTAATTAGATTCTTGCTGTATAAAATTTGTATTCTATATAAAAATAAAATATTCTTTTTTCAGGAAATTGGTGGAACACGAATGATTGTTTTGATGCTAGCATGCATGGATTGAATTGTTCTAAAACACCTGTCGAAAATAATATCATGTATAATAATACCTGCCATCATACTACGCCTGTAGAAGAATATTGGGAGTAAGTGAAGCACATTACTAGTTATAATATATAAACAAAATAATATGAACATATATATAATAAGAATTACAGAAAACGAAAAAAGTGCTAGTTAATTTCCCTTTTGATCGAAAGTAATATAAATATGTATTTTTTATATAATATTCTTTAAATTAGCGGATTTTCTAGATCTAACAATTTTGATTACGTAATCCAAGTATACATAAAACATATAGTTAACGAACTGTCCCTTACGAGAATTATAAAGCTGATGATGTAAGTTCGAAAGCATCGGGGGATTTGTGCAGGACGTAAGAATGATAAGAAAATGCAATATTGATTTTCTTAAAATTAGGTCGAAGCAAATTCGTTCGTGCAATCGCGTTTATATAACATATTGATGTCAACAATCAACTAATCTTAAGAGAACATATTTATTTAGGTTCATCGCGAATTTGCACACAACTTATTAATTTAATGTAAACTCATTATATATTCATTTCGCGGGATGAAATGAACAATGAATGATACAAGAGATTGTCGTGATTTTTACATTGCATTAATTCCATAATATAATTCTAATTAAATCTAATATGTATTTATATTCACATTTGTTCTCTTATCACAACTTATTAGACTTTACCTGAGGTAAAGTCACGGTTGGGATATTGATGCGGATCTTTAAGGGATCTTCGTGTTTTTTTGAATATTAATATTTGAACCGATTACAGAGAATGACGTTGCATTTTCAGTCGGCGAGTCCTCGGCATCACGTCCGGCATCGAGACTATCGGCAAAGTCCAGTGGGAGCTGTTAGGCTGCTTGATTGTCGGCTGGTTACTCGTTTACTTTATCATCCGGCGCGGTCTACATCAGAGCGGTAAGATCATCTGGTTTTCAGCCTTGTTCCCGTACGTGGTGCTTTTCATTCTTTTGGGAAGAGCGGTGACGTTAGAGGGCTCGTACGACGGTTTGCTTTACTACGTGACGCCGCGATGGGAAGAATTGCGCAATCCCGGACCGTGGATAGACGGTGCTACCCAGATCTTCTTCGCGTACAGTATCGGTACCGGTGCCCTGCCCGCCCTAGGCTCTTACAACAAGTTCCATCACAATTGTTATAGGTAAGCGATGTAAGATCCTTTCCCGGGTGGCAATTAACGGCAAGATTATCGAGCCTCGGTAACAGCCATTCGAAAAGTAATTGTTCGCCAACAAGAATGTCGAGGCAGAATTTAATTCGTACAACTTAATTAACTTTCACGATGCTGCTATCGTCGGTTTCGCAGCTCCATGAAGATTTGAATAATCCATGTGTATCGCTACACGTTAGCCGTGTCAGATTTCACGTTGGCCTCACTTGTGCCTAAATTGCGACAATTGCGTATAATGATTTTGTAGCGCGTTCTATTCTTAATTTTAAATCATACGACGGTGTCGTCGTTGCTGGAGTCTTTCAAAAAGGGAGTTTTGTCTTGCAGAGACGCAATAATCACTTGCGTAGTCAATACCCTGACGTGTCTTCTGGCCGGTTGCGTAACATTTTCGATACTGGGTCACATCGCTCTGGAACAGCAAACGCAGGTGTCCGAGGTCGTCAAGAGCGGGCCTGGTCTCGTGTTCCTCACGTATCCCGAGGTCGTTCTCAAGCTACCCGGTGCTTCGTTATGGGCCATTATATTCTTCGTGATGCTGCTTGTAAGAAATTGCTATTCCAACGACGGAATCGGCTGTCGCCGTCTATATTTATATTATGTGATGTACATACATCGCTGTAAAAAAGGGTTTGGACACGTAACATTATCGTCCTCGGCAGGAAGATTCTTTCGACATGTCACAATTTAACGTCGAACTGTATATTTTTGTGCTAAAAAAAATTGTGAAATGTTCACGGAAAATAATATTAAAATAATGTGATACTGAAAGAAGATTGAAAAATTCTTACAAGAGATTTTTATTTCCAAAAAATAAATTAACATAAACATAAATTTAGATTTTAATCAATTGAATCCTCTGCAATGTGTAAAACGATATTAGCGCAAAATTCTATCAAATAGTATAATTAATAAATAATTAATAAATTTATAATTAATAAATTGATATAGTACATAATAATATAATATCTTATTTTTTATAAACATTTCACAATTTACAAGTTTAATGTAATGACTATTTTCAGTCAGGCTTGTTCAATTCTTTTCTTAAAAATCTTAAAATTTTGCGATCTGTATATATAATTTATACTATTGTTCATGTAGTTAGTCTTTATAAGATTAATTAATCGTGTAGCAGTAAGAATCATATTCTTAACAGATCACTGATTATAATTTTAATGGAATATTGTAGATATTATGGAATACAAGTTATAAATTTAAACGTAGATTTTGGAGCAAAGGTTAAGCATGGAGAAATTAGAATTCTTCCAACTTTTTACACAAATGTAAGATGATCATATACGAATCGCTTCGTCTTTCCACACAGATACTCGGTATCGACAGTGAATTTTGCATCGTGGAATCTTTCATAACCGGTATGGTCGACTACTGGCCGGATATACTTCGTCCTCATAGGATCAAGTTCACCATTGCTATCTGTCTGATAATGTTTGGCCTCGGAATTCCGATGGTCACGAACGTTAGTATTCGGCGAACCGTGTCAATCAATCAAATATATAATAAAAAAGTGGAATCAAATATATAATAAACAGTTTTAGACGCAGTGAAAAATTTGATAGAAGGAAAATTACAAAATATTATTATTCACAGGGTGGAATTTATATTTTCCAATTGATGGATTTCTACTCCGCGAGCGGTATGTCCATTTTGTGGGTGTGCTTCTTCCAAACGATCGCGATATCGTGGATTTTCGGAGCGAAGAAATTCTGCGATTGTGTGCATCAGATGATGGGAATTCGTTTGAATAAATTTTGGTACATATGCTGGGTTCTATTCGCGCCGGTGATCATGGTCGTGAGTATAATAATAATTACATATATTATTTATGTAAATTAATTCGCAATATTATTGTCAAATAAAGTGGAAAGCATAAACTAGTACTAAGAAACGAATAAACTAAAAATAAAGTGTTTAATGCGAAAGTTTCCTCAATTACATTTTTTCTTATCTTTCAGTTCATCTTCGTATTTCAAATCGTGCAATATAAGCCACTTAAATATGGCAGCAGTTATGAGTATCCGACATGGGCGGAAATAGTGGGAGTATGCTTGAGTCTTTCATCTATGATATGGATACCAGGTTACGCGTTATATTATATAATAATGACGCCAGGATCGCTTAAGGAGGTAAATGAGACTTTGCGTGCAAATTGTATGCATATGAAAGCTATCTGGAACTATTATCGTACATACATAATAATGGCCATAATTATTTTAATTCGCCTTTTTAATCCGAGTCGCGAATATAATCTACCAATCTTTTTTTAGAATTTCCAGAAGGGTCTGCAGCCGAACATAAAATCGCATGCAAAATTACCGAAAGGCGAGAAGTCGGCCGTTATACCTATGTCAGAAAGCAGCGCCGGCTTAATTACGAAAAATAATAGTTTCCTGAGTCAAACATGATTGACGCTAGCGATCATCTTTAATTCATATATTAGGTTACACTTATCGTAAAAATAATATATTTATAGAGATAAACAAAATTAAAAAAGTCCAGCACGATTGGACATTCAGTAGTAATTTGTGTCAAAATGGACGCGTGTCAAATTAATTAGTTTCGTTCAGTTAAGAAGCGATCATTACATTATTATTTATTTAATGCTAAATCATAGATATTATATTTATTTTAGTATTCCTGATAAATACATCAAAAGGTCTCCTTAATACCTTAATAGCTGGTCAATTATAACGTTTTAATACGTTTGAATTATTTAAAAAAAAAGAAATATTTCAAAGAAAGTTTATTTAAAAATTATGTAATATATAATATATTATAATATATTATATATAATTATATATTATATATAATATATTATATATAATTTTCCATACATTTATATAAATTTATAAAAAAATATATTAAGGATTAATGTTTTAAGAAATATAAGAATAACTTATTATTTGATTTCAAGCTTTTTTTATTGTTTAATTTTATTATCAATGATGCCAGCTATTAAAGTTTTAAAAGAGAGAAATTTAGCTGACAAGAAAATTATTTCGAGATCGCAATTAAATATAAATGATTCGTTTGTGTTGACCAAGCTGTTAAGATAGAAGGCATAATAAGAGAGGTATTAGATGCGTGGCGGTTTAAAAGAAGTACTTATAGAAATAATAATAGTAGACTGCGCTAGAGAGAGTGTGCATTCAAATACCTATTTACGGGGATGAATTAAAAGAAGTATATTTTTATATCGCGATTATATCGCGATAAGGTATATGAATTTTTAATAGAGAGGTCATTTGGTTGATAATTCGACTGGTTTCAAGGAATTGAAAGTTCTCATAATAAAGAAACGACGTGCGAGCTCCTAAAATTAGATAGAAATTTACATTTCTTGTGTCCATACTCAAAATGGTACACTCACGAGTGTTCATGCGTTCAAAGATTCCGCTTGGTGAGTGCATTAAAAGATTTGCTGCAACCGTGCGAAGTAAAATAGAAGCGTAGCGTATAGAGAGTTATTGACAGTTACTAAATATATTCGTAATATACTAAAGTACAAGTAATAAAATAAAACTATAATGTAATTTTGGCATGTATCGTATATGTATTTTCAAGTGGCTCGATGCATTCACCGAGAAGAGACATCTTCAATTCCAACCAGTCGTGATAATCAACTGGATTGTAGCAGGATACAGAACGTTTCTAACACAAAGTTTAGCAGTTTATACTGCACTCAACTTCGACAGCACAAATATTACAATTTATTTCGCGTTTCGTTATAATACGATAAAGACGCATTTATCACGTAATATAGGATTATAAAGCGATGCATAAGTTCCGTTATTTATTTGCTTGAAACTCATTTTTTTATAACGCATAATATCAATTAATTTTAGCAATTTTTGTTTTAAACACGTGTTTAAAACGTATAGAAAACTGAGTCAAACTTGCAATGTGTAACGAAGTATTCAGTGTCTGAGACACGTCTGACAGTATTAGAAAAAAGTTAAAGTTAAATTTAGAAGAAGATATGTATGTTACATATATATATAATTATTGGAAAAAAATTGAGACTTTATTCGATGAATGATGTTATCAATTTAATCTTCTATATTCCAAATGAGGTTTTTAATTTGCCCGATCAATTCAAATGCATCAGAGAATGACGTTTCCACTTGAAAAAAAAATTGCAGAAAATATCAAAATCAATTTGTCTTATTGCTATCACTAATACATTGTAATTGTCACTTTTTTAATCTTTATTATTTCAAATTTTCGTTTTCTCACGTAACAATTTTTTCATACGACTGATTTCTCATTTGCTTGAAATACAAAAGCAATAACGTACGATACGAAGCGATATGCTTTTTCTCTCAACCGGCCTAATTCATATTAAGAATATGTTCTCTTATTTAATTCGTATAGAGTAATCACGAGCGCTATTCGTCGAAGTGTTACAATTGTTGACGTTGTACAATACTAAGGGATATGACTGCGATATTCGTTTCTATTTTAGTACCATACGATTGCGACGCGAAGTACTTCCAATAGTAAGCTAAAAAAGGAGCGATATTGTAAGCGATATGTAAGTCGGATCTGCGTTGAACAATGTGCGTATAAAATGGCATGATTAATTCGTAAATTTAATGGGCATTCATATATTGGCAGAAAGAGATGGCGGTATAGTTTACAATAATTTTAAACGATGGCTCTGTTTGCGAGGAATAATATTGGAGCGAAATATTTGTGCACACGCTGAGATTATTTGAGCATTAATCGGCAAATTAATCAATGACACGCGAACATGCAAAAAATTTTTTTTCATACCCATTACAAGCGAGAAAACACAATACTGCGACCGTATATGTGTGTGTGTATGTTTAATCATCGCAAACATTTGTTCAGCGCATGATAGCGTAATAACGTATCTCCATCTAACTGTATCTGTAAATATATTCAATGTAACGTACACATAAACACAATCGAGGGGGGAGGGGAGTGGGAGCATAAATTTCCGCGACTATTCTTGGCAATATATGCATACGCATTATTGCCGAACGCAAGATGACTGCATGTGTTTATCGATCGCGCAGATGACTCGATTATGGCTCGACGAACCGCTGCTAGAACTTGTACAAAGAATGAAGCGTGTTATACGAATATTATATTTCTATATACGTATATATACATTACGTTTTATACGATGTATAGTGATATATATGACCGTGGAAAAATCAAAAGATCTGAGCCAAGGCAGTATTGTTTTTTTGTAAACGGAAATTTAATTTGCATCTATGATGTGACGAAGTCGCTCTCTTTTTTCAACATTGTACAATTTTTCTGTAATTTAAGGTTTATCGCCAATTTTGGCCCAATTCTCGTTTAATTCTCGATTATACGCGTGATGATAAAAAAATGTTTTATATTGCTCATCACAATTACTGAAGTACTGTACAATTCGTTTATTTGTACAAACAGACTCGATTTCGAAATTTTATTTTGCTAAGAATATAGAATTTTGCCTAATATAAAAATTGTTCTAACTTTAGATATGTATATTACTGTATCATTTCAAATGTAAATATTCGACATATACTTTGTCATGAAATAATTTTGAAATAATCATGAATTTATTTTTGAATTTCCGCAGACTGTATTTTTGATTACAATTGGTAAATTTAGTTCTATTTATTGTTAGATTTAATTTGAAAATTTTGAGAAATTTTTTTATCTAAAATAAATTTTTTACTAACGTAATCGTATCGTGAAATTTATCAATTGATTTTATCGTGTATTTTGTAACATCTATATTTTGAAAGCTACAAGCATTTCTACGTTTCACGAATTTCAAAAAGTATATAACAGAACGAAATAGTGAATAAAAATTTTGAAATAAATTTTCGGAAAATCAGATTGCGTGATTTCTGAGTCGTAATGTTGAGGTACGTGTTGGAGGAGTGAAATTTATTTATATGCAATTATTTTTCGAGCGATACATGCGTTAAAAGCAATGCATTATTTGCGAATGTATACTGGCTTAATGCATTGGGTGTTTCACGTAGTTATAACATTATGTATACGTTTTCGGCTAAATTGTAACCATATATATGTACTTGAATAAATATTAACGCCTATTACATTGCGAAATGATTTTTCATATTTACATAAATACAGCAATAAATAATAATTTTGTTCTATTGTTTCTGCATATTATATATATAATTTCTATTGTTTTTGCATATTATATACATAATTTCATCATCGTAATTATTGTACAATTGTTTAGATATAATTTGGAACGTTCATTACATTCGCTTTTTTAATGCCCGTCCAATTGTTTAATGATTATTTACTAAATTACAAATTACAGGCAGATTAGAATCCTGGCAGTCATTACCCATATCAATATTTTGATTGCCAACAGAATTGCGCGCAGGATTTTGCATAATGATTAATAAACGTGGATGAAACAATGTACAGTTTTAATAGTATAGATGTCCGTAATGAATGATTATAATGCTTCTGCAATATTCCATTGCTCGATAAACGATCGCGCTGACAAATGCAGTTCACTAACGATGCAACATCGAAATAATTACGTCACACGTATACAAAGCTTTCGAGAAATAAATGTGTGTCTATGAACTCTTCTACAATATAATTTCTGATAAATTGCAAAGTCTTCTTAACCGAGTTTCATCAAACGATACAGTCGAAAGTCTGTCGTCTTTTTATTAAGAAAAAGATAAAAAAAAATACGGCAAAAAATACATCCGGTTCAAAGCTTTCACAGAGATTATTATTTTAAAGATAAAAATAGTATATTTCAAATGACGGTTGTAGAATCGCGCAGAAATGCGGATCATCCTTCGCATCACACGCCAACGAGATGTCAACGAGAGGATCTCGAATATCCCTGTCAGTCCTCTCTCTTTCTATCTATCTATCTCTCTCCTTTTCTCACATGCGCGCATTTGTGTGTGCGTGTGTATGTGTTTCAACTCAGCTTCTCATCTTGCGGAACGACGCATCGTTTCACGACGTGTTTTACGATAGCTAAAGGCGACGTGATACGGGTGAGCAAAGTGCGAAAGGCGCTGATATGTGCCGACTACCCGTCTGCCACAGTAAACCCGATCGTTATGCGGTCTTATATTTTGCAGCGGCGAATATTATCGCGAATACTATCGCGGATCCGCCATGGGCTCATCGTTTGTTAGTGAAATTCCTCTTTTACATAGATGCGCGCTGTCTTACGCTCCTTGACCGCGCTAATTGCGCGAAAGGATAATCACGAAAGGACATCTTTGCAGACGAGTCGAACTTCCTGATGGGCATAAAATGCACAGACTTTTAAAAATAATCGTTTAAATTATTATATATTTTATTTCAGATAAATATATATTATTTATTTTAAATATAATATTTTACTTTTAATATATATATTTTGATTTTCCATGAAAATAATAGCCACCAATTATTAAAATTATTAATTGACATGTGTAGTTTGAAAAGGATTAATAGAAATATATATTTTCTTCCCTTTTTTATTAAAAATATTATTTTAAATGTTATATAATGAAAAAAAAACATTATACACTGATTAGAAAAATAATCATCATTTATTTAAATCATAAAACCAATATAATTTAATAAAACATAAATAAAAACGAAGATTTCAGATAAATAGTGAGAGAAAAATAAATAGAATGAATATATTATAAACTCGTGGTTATTATTTAAATGTTTATTA